TGTGTATGTCCGTTGAACTAATGTTGACCACACGCAGGAATCGAACCCAGGTTGCCAGGATCATAGTGCAGTGCGCTCACCGCTTTCCTACCGTTCCCCAAACCAGTACAAACATACAAAAAAAGATCCCCTGTATAGCCTGAACAGACTATTGGGGCAAGTGCTATTAGCGAACACCTACGAAGGCCAGAACGGCACACGAGGGGGTGGGTGGCCAGCACCGCACCCGGCCGCCTTTGTCTCCCCCAGTGGCGATGTTTTTTACGCACCACACCAGGTACTCATTTGAGCCTGAGTCGACCTAGGCGATACCCAGGACCGGATCAGATAATCGTCACTGATATTCGCCACGAGCAGGAATGGAATTCAGGCCGGCAGGTTCGTAGCGCAGCGCGCTAACCGCTATACCACTGCTCCCCACAACACATACACACACGCGCATACACATTTACAAAGACATATGGACCTGTGCAGTGACATCCTGGATGTCACTGGGTGATGCCGGCTCCAGCGAGGCACGGCGTGCGAATAATTGACATCGCAGACACCCCGTACATGTGGGTGTAGTACCAGCCCTAGAGGCGCTCGGTGAGCGCTGATAGAGAGCGCCGAGTGACACCACGCTTGGCGTGCAGTGCTGCCCCCTATCGGAGGGGGTGTGTGAGTGCCGGCCGTGAATGGGGTTTCTGTGGGCCGTGGCACTCTGGTTGACCCTAGAAGGCACGTGACGGGTCAAGTCTACACAGGTGCCCCAAGTGGGGGCTAGGGGTGGTAACGTGTCGGCAGGGGCGAGTTCCTGCTCGAGGATTCGAGAAGGCGGTCGTGGCCAAAGGCGGAGCCAGCCACGACCAGTGAGGATAAAAACCGGGTCCCCAGAGGGATCGGGGTTCAGCGTTGCTGTTGTTATCCTGAAGATCTACGTTCTGTGTTCTACGTCCGAGAAGAGTCATCAACACGTGGACCTGGACCCAAGCCGGGGTCCTGTCCGTTGTAGCTACTCCCAGTGTAATTAGTGTAAGTTAGCCTGGTGGTCCACCACCACAGGTTGTGATCTGGTCAAGGGTTGGTATCAACAAATGTGTTGCCTCCACAGAGTACGTCTGCGACTCAGTTGAATCCACGAAAACTGTATAACCTTGTACAGACTGGTAGTGAGCAGATAATAAGACCATCACGGCATTTGATGGGCTGGTGTTTCCAGCATCACACCTGGCCGCCTTTGTATGCATATATGTTGAAACTTCTTTTGCACAGTACGTAAGCCAACCGTGCTAATCGGAGGTGCGAGGGAAGGACGAGGCTGTGGACCCACGCCGTTGCACTTTACAAGCACCGCCAAAAACGGATTCCCGTCTCGATGGCTGTTAAAGAAAATTGCGTTGGCTTCGGAGGCGGCTGCTGTCAAACTTGCACCAGTTCAGTCTGTCGTACGTCAGGGAAGGGACCAACACTGTGGGCAAAAGGGCTGGACGCTGATTGGCTGAGTGCCGCGCTACAGCAGGCAATTACATTTTCCACGTAATGTCCAATGATGTCCTGAGAGAATGTGTCACAGCGCCTGCCAAGAGACGTCTCTTTGATTGAGTAAAAATCAACAAGCGGCATGTAAACTGCCCTCGCACGCCCTCCCAATGAGCTTATACCTTGTCCATCCCTTGTCTACAGGGGCTACACTATACATATGCATTGTTTGCATTCATTGATCACCAATGTGAGACTACAAAAATCACTCTATTAATAACTTAAACTTGAGACAAAACCCATATCTTCAACGCGGAGCCTCGAGGTTTAAGTCACATTTTCATAAAAGTTAGATTTTGAAACGTGTACGTGACAGATCTTACTGCATAAGATCTCGGATCCCACGTGCGCTCACAGTAACGCTGGAGGGTGAGGTGACATCTTTCTGGACCTCTTTCCACGAGGGTAACATCATTGAGCCATGCTCAGTTTTCCCTCGAACAGTGACGCGATCCTTTGCCCACCACGGGATCCAGTCACGGTCATGATAGCAGGTAAAAGTTCAGCATACGTACATAGAAAAATAGATGTAATTGACGATTTTATTTTAAAACCCCCAAAAGAAGAAAACAGTGGAAAAAACACAAAGGTAAGAGATATACATACATGAAACAAGGTATAAAAATGTTTGTCTTGGTGTCAATGTGAATATAGAAAGTTAACATGATTGAGCATTAACATGAGAACGATGTTCCAGATGTGGCCCTTCGGGTGGTGACCACTGCCATCTGCAGTGGGCAAAGAAGCAGAGCTCCTGGTGCAAATGGAATAACAAACTTAATTAAAGAAGCAAAAGCGGCAGTTTAATGAAAATGAGTAGCCTGGTGCATGGAATGTCTACACACAAAAAACTCAATCGTCCAATGACGTCTCAATCTTTTGAACGAAAGAGACGAAACATTTATTTGAAAAATCACAGACCGGTTATCCATTTTGTCACACGCACATAAACTGCTCACGAAGACCACAGATAACGAATAATGGGTCAATTCGAGGGCCCACCAACAGCAAGCCGGTGTTTGTAAAGGTTTTTCCACCATTAACTACGGTCATGCTCCAACATAAATTCTAGAAAAAAGACGAGATTGAAGCCAGGAATGGTCCTCAGCGCCTTCGGTGGATCTCTGACAACTGCCACGGCTCGTTTTGCACAAATCATGGTTACCGTTTATTTGTTCCGTTATTCCTGATATCATCTTGGTGAGATGTTTATTTATCTCACCAGGATGTAACCTTTCTTTTCATTTTCGTTAACATCACAAAACGTGCATTGACCATCATTTGTTTTCTCTGGCAGACCTGGGGTGAATTGTAATCCGTTTCAATTGTTTAGATTTTAAGTCTAAATCCAAACCGCCAAGGTGAATAGTATTAGCTCTATTCTTTGGTTCTTTCGGTAAAGTCACGTAGGTAGAAAAATTAAACAAAATAATAAATAATACATCACGACGTTTCGATCGCAACACCAAGCAGTCGTCCTCAGGCAGAAAAAATAATCCAACAGTGGAACTGCTGAACCAGGAAAAAATGTCCCAACGAGCCATCAGGCCTCTTCTCGATCAAAACATCGAGGAATGAGAGCTTGCCATCATTTTCCACTTCCATGGTGAATTTGATGGGTGGGTGTATGGAATCGATGTGGTTGAAAAATTGGTTCGGTGCTGGCTGGCCATGTGGCCAGATGACAAAAGTGTCATCTACGTATCTCTTCCATAGGGAAGGACACAGGGTGGATGCCAGGATGGCATCTGTTTCAAATTTCTCCGTGAAAACATTCGCTACCACTGGTGATAAGGGAGAACCCATAGGGGTACCTTTATTTTGTTTGTAGAATGTACCATTCCAGATGAAGTGTTGGTAAGGCAGTGCCTCACCAAAGTTTTCAATGATTGCTATGGTGTCAGGTACAGGTACCTTGGTGAGCAGAGAGACGACATCGAAGCTGACAAACAAATCATCTGGAGACAGTGAAATGTCCTTGATTAGAGAAACCAAGTGAGCCCAGTTAAGTAACTGCTTCTGGCCACATGGCCAGCCAGCACTGAGCCAATTTGTTCAACCACATAAATTTTCCATAAAGCAATCCATCAAATTCACCATGGAAGTGGAAAATTATGGCAAGCTACCATTCCTGGATGTTTTGATCGAGAAGAGGCCTGATGGCTCGTTGGGACATTCTTCCTGGTTCAGCAATTCCACTGCTGGATTATTTTATCCGCCTAAGGAAGACCGCTTGGTGTTGCGATCAAAACGTCGTGATGTATTATTTATTTTGTTCTATTTTTCTACCTACGTGACTTTACCGAAAGAACCAAAGAGTATGGATTCCTGCAGTCACGAAAGCTTCAAATCGAGTATTAGCTCTGCTGATGCAATTGTATTTGCAATTGACTCCAGGTCTGCTGTGTGTATTGTTTCAAGGTACCTTGGTGAGCTTGCCATACACGAATCAAGAAAAACTGAATAATATAACTTTTCAAAGAACAAGCAATCAACTGCAATAACACACCTACATAGATTACCATATATATAAAAAGAGGCTAATCTATCCATGGTATTTATGTTTCTGATGTTATTTATCTTTGTTTGTGTATCCATGTCCAGATAACTATTTCCGAGACTGCTTCAGCAAGTTTCAGCTGAATTCTAATGTTAAGCGGTTTATGTGAACAAGCACAAAATCTCAAAACAATATTAACCCACGACTCAATATCTAAGCTTGTAAGTCGCCGGTGCTGCTCATGCACTTTTCCATTTTTGATAATAGCCCAGAATGTGACTCGAACCCATGAAAATGGGGAGGGGGGTTGTCAATGGGACAGGCTTGCCCACTAGTCCATTCAAATTGTTTCATGAATTACCATAGATTCAGCACTCACTTGATGTCAGTTAACTATAACACATTTATAACAAGTACACTACAGTTACTAATACCATGCCTTCGAGGTCAATAAATTATGCACCACTTTGTAGGCAGTCGACAAAGATCCTATGTCACCCCTTATGCATCTACCGGCCACCAACGTAAGAATGTGGAATTGCCACAAATAGCTCAAGGCCACCAACAAAGATTTTAGCATCAGGACACCTTCACTCTTGCATGTACGTACGTTGAGCTTCTTTCGTACGTAGCCAACCGTGCTCATCGGAGGTGCGAAAGACTCTCGGACTTTTTTTTGCACGAATTCTGGTGAATGGGCGAGATTGAGGCCTGTTGCCTTCTCAGTGTAGGCCAGACGTGGGCAAAGTACGGCCCGTTGGGCTTTTTAATCCGGCCTGCCGAACTTGTCCAAATATTATTATTATTAAATTAAATTTTCCCCTTCTCCCGTAATGCCCCCATTTCCCCATTAGATGGCGCACTTTGACCGGGAGTTACGACATGTTTTTGCATTGTTCATGTTCGTGCAATGTGTTAAATTGCCTTGCAAATAAATGCTTTGCTACCTGTTAAAGGCCAAATCCTTTCATGTAATTATTTTGATATGTCATTTATATTAGCTCACACGAACACTCCATCTGTTCCTGGCCCGGCCCCTCTGTCAAATTTTAGAACCCATTGTGGCCCGCGAGTCAAAAAATTTGCCCACCCCTGGTGTAGGCTGTGACCGGCCACTACAGTTCTCTGTGCCCGATGACGCGGCCTTCGCTGCTTGTGCGATCATCCCCGGCCAGCCAGCGCTCGTAAATGTGGTAGGGATCCGTGTTCCAATGCTTGTGGAAGGAGACTGGGGAATGGCTTGTGAGATAGTCGAGCGGATAGTCCTCCGGCCGTGCCTGCAAAACACAACGCACGCTCCGTTAAGGTCCGGGGCAATGAGCAGAAGAAACTCAAAGAGCGTGTGTCAGCTCACGAAGGAAATACGCTGTGGCTTTATTTCACTATCCAACGCGCTTTGGTTTTGCCATGTGAGTGGTGCGTGTGGCAAGTTAAAATCATGTTTGGGTGTTGAATTAGCCTAGCATTCCTCTGCGGCTGGTAAAATTAGAACTGCTTTGTGGGAAGTCGTCGGCAACGGTTGTCGATGGAAATGTGAAAGTTCCATCACTGGCCCAGGTTCGCCAATGTCTGTATGTCAAACTTCTTTCACACCGTACATAGCCAACCATGGCGATCGGAGGTGCCGGGGGAAGGACAACAAACTAAACACAAAGAGCGGTTCTTAAAAAAAAAATGTTTTCAATCTAGATTTAAAAGTGCATAGCTCTAGTCGCTTCCTAATATTGGAAGGGCCAATAGTGATGGGTGATGGGTGCCTTGCCACCGCAAGTTGTTTGAGCAGGGAGACACAAAGTGCCCTTTAGTTTTCTGTCAATGCGTGCTGATGCAGCGCAAAGCGGTACTCGTCTCCTCGACCATGATTTTTTGTTTTCAACTTTCCAACGGTTCAAGTTGAGCGCCCAGCCACCGTTAGCAAAAAATATATAACTCGTCGATTAAACCATGGGTACACGAGAACTGCACAGTTATCAAAAAAACATTTGTGGTTTCGTGACAGTGCAGCGGGCACACCTGGTGGAACTGTGGGCTGTGAGTGGCAGGAATTGCCAGGCTCTTGAAGCACATGCCCAGCACCATGTCATCCGGAGCATCATCGCTGTAGCACTTGCAGCCACCGGCCATCAGCTCTTTCACTGCTTCACGGCTGAACACCATTCTGCAACAGAGAGAGAGAGACGCGACTGCACCATCAATTCACCCTCAATGCACCCGTTCTTGTTGGAACTGAAAAGCTGAGTAGAGTTGAGCCCGAATGCATGTATGTATGTTGAATTGGAGGTGGGAGGGAAGGACAACAAACTCAACACAAAAATCCAAATAGTTCCCTTTCTCTTATAGAATTGGGAATTTGTTCAGAAACTCTGACAGATTTGTTTGCAAGGGGTAACCAGATGCTCTAGGATTGGTATGTTAAGAGGCCAACAGCTATAAGTACAGCAAAGGATTATTGAATATACCTTTTTGTGTGGTGCCCCCTTATGTGTCGGTCCTATCTGGGTACTGCAGTTTCCTTCTGCATGCCGAATACTCATTAATGGAATTGGACAAACATGCCAATGCAGGACCCTCCTGAAAATGTGCTTGGGGGCACCACGGTGGCGAGATGTTGACTACCTTGCCTGGTATGCAGGAGGTCTCCCCGTGGTCGCGTGTATTTTTCTCCGGGTGCTCCGGTTTTTCCTCTCCACATTTAGAATCAACTTCAAGCGTTCATGGAGTATTTGGCTGCTGCTATAATGTCCACGTGATGAGCCACTTCGTTGAGCTATCATTTGTGGCCATGTTACTTCTGAAAAAAAGAGCTATATAGCTCAGTGGGTCTTACCTGGTAAAATAAAAAAAAGTTTAGTTGAATAGTTTAAATAGCTTAGACTAAGTGCAGTTTTCCTGGACAAAGCGTGTTTTGTATTCATATATTTATGGTAAGTCTCGTAAAATGTGTCACATCTGAACCAATCAAACGCTCATTCTCGAACATCTACTGAAGTTTCTGCCGTCCCCTTCCGTACGACGGCTTTTCAACTCCTCAGTCACAACGCCTACTTGCGCATCACGAATGCCACACAATCCTGACCTAAAATTCCCAATCAAGCTCAAGGGGGGAGGGGTTTGCAACTGTACAACCTGCTGCACTGTGAGCTAACGCAAGCGGCGATAAGACTGTCCGTGATGCGTGACTCCGAGACACTCCCTCGCACAGCACAGATGGAAATCGATAAGCAACTGGAAGCTGCAGCACCCCCCCCACCCCTGCCGAGTGATTCTCTCACAGGAAAGGCATATGTCAGCTGCCAGATCATAATGCAGGTGTGGCCTTTGTTAGTGTGCAGATAAACACGTCCTCTTGTGCCGAAATGTCAACGCGGGCCTACGAACGTGCTCACAAGTGGATGCGCCTCCCTGCAGAATGCGCACAGCCACAGAAACGGCCACACAGGGCCTCATTGTGTTGTGCAAAATGTTCGTTTCCGTGGGCTATTTGGAGGAAAAGCACTCGTGTTTCCATTACCAACAAACAGGGCAAAATTGTCCAAGTGAATGGGTTTAAGCTGCTACATCAAGATCTGATGTGGCTCTGAATCCTTTAATGTTTTGCCATATTTTGAAATGCTATAAAATAACATGAATAATGCTTGTAATCGATCACAATAATTGAATCTTATTCAGCCGGAAAGCTCCACTAAATCCTGACACATTTTCTGTTTGTGGTCTGTGGCCAATCATTTTGGATGAGGAGATAAACAGGAATATGTCGTGCCTATAACTATAATCCGTGATGCAATGCTAAAGACAACACGAAAGGAACTTGTACATTCTTGATTTGAAGCTTTCGTGACTGCATGAATCCACAACTCTTTGGTTCTTTCGGTAAAGTCACGTATAGGTAGAAATAAAATAAAAACAAATCACGACGTTTCGGTCGCGACGCAAGCGACCTTCATCAGGTGGCACCGATACAGCGGGACAACCGCTGACATAGGAGAACGAGCTGCTGACCACAAGAGTTTATAAAGAGTTGTGGTGGGCCCCAACCCAAGGGTAAGTGGGCGGAGCTAGAGAAGGAAGAAAGGGGGGGGAGGGTGAGAGGGGGGTGGGCGCAGGTGATCGGTGGAAGGCAGACAGCAGCTGTGCCTGTGGGGCCAATGTGAGAAATTAGCATGTAAATTAGCATGTAAACATCCTGCCTGCCGTTTTGTAATTTCTCACATCAACAGGGCGACTCCCTTCCCCATCCTCCTCCTGTTTACATGCTAATTTACACTTACATGCATATTTCTCACATTGGCCCCACAGGCACAGCGTCTCTCTGACTTCCACAGGCACAGCGTCTCTCTGCCTTCCGCAGGCACAGCGTCTCTCTGACTTCCACAGGCACAGCGTCTCTCTGACTTCCACAGGCACAGCGTCTCTCTGACTTCCACAGGCACAGCGTGTCTCTGACTTCCACAGGCACAGCGTCTCTCTGACTTCCACAGGCACAGCGTCTCTCTGACTTCCACAGGCACAGCGTCTCTCTGACTTCCACCGATCACCTGTGCCCACCCCCCTCTCACCCTCCCCTCCTTGCCCCCCCCCTTCTTCCTTCTCTAGCTTCGCCCACTTACCCTTGGGTTGGGCCCACCACAACTCTTTATAAACTCTTGTTCTCAGCAGCTCTTTCTCCTATGTCAGCGGTTGTCCTGCTGTATCGGTGAAGGTCGCTTGTGTTGCGATCGAAACGTCGTGATTTGTTTTATTTTATTTCTAACTACGTGACTTTACCGAAAGAACCAAAGAGTATGACCTTGTACATAACAACTCCTCACTACATTATTAGCTCATCATCAACTCACTGCTGGTTGAAAGCCTCCCAAAGCCAACAAAATCTGGAATGATCCTGCTCTGTAATAACCACATTTTAAAAAAACATCGTCTACATTTTGTTACTATCCTTGCAAATATTTGTGTTAATAAAATGTAGCCCTTGCTTTTGAGAGCTTTGGATGACTGCATCAATTTCCATTGAATTATATTCCTTGCCATGGTCTACAAAGGCTCGGAATAATGATCTCCGATATTCAATTGTCTTTTTTCAGTATCTTCTTGATTGTGCGTGATCGATGATGGCAAAATACCTTCCAATATCTTGCTTGCTCGCATGACTGGCTGGCCTCTTCAGCCGCCAATTTTCTTCCCAATTATATGCACGAACGATTCACATACATTTTGATTTAAAGCTTTTGTGACTGCAGGGATTCATATTCTTGGTTCTTTCGGTAAAGTCACCACGTAGAAGGGAAACAATAAAATAATAAAAATATAAAATAATAAAATTCTCACGACGTTTCGACTGCAACACAAGCAATCATCATCAGGTGTGAAATCCACAACAACAAAATTTGAAAAAAGTGGCGTTTTATTAACGTTAGCACCACGGATAGCGATTTGATGGACGAGTCCATCTATGTTCGGAAAAGAGGAGGGGGGAGACGAAAAATAATGGATGTGGTTTGAAAGTCACCTTAAGCGTGATCAATCAAATTTTCTTATTGTGGTTTTCACACCTGATGATGATTGCTTGTGTTGCAGTCGAAACGTCGTGAGAATTTTATTGTTTTATATTTTTATTATTTTATTGTTTCCCTTCTACGTGGTGACTTTACCGAAAGAACCAAGAATGCGATTCACGCACATTTGACATAGTGTGAATGCCTCCGTTAATTTACAAGGGAGTTTTGTCTCAAATTGTTAACAGAAGAATGACTGAGCCATCATTCCACAATCGAGTGACTTCATCTCAATGCGCTAATTAGTAAATAGGTGAGATAATCTTTAGTCCAACGGCTATTCTCAACTTCTTTGGTGATATCCACGGCTATTGCATATGGTCCAGGAGCTTTCCCTTTTGTAATACCTTTCCTTGGGATGCAAACGTTTTATGTATTTACTCTGTCCATCTGCCTGTCTCTATCACAGAACAACGCTTTTAAAGATGATCCAATATGCGCAAAACTTTGTCCATAATAAAGGGGTTTTCTGGGGTTAGATTGGGTAAATATAAATGTGTCGTTAAATCGTTCTGTTGCCGGAACCCGGTGGGTGACATGGCCGAGTGGTACCGCTTGCTGCAAAGGATCACAGTTCGAATCCAGCGGCCGCCCCGATAATTACTGCGGTGTGCAATAACTATTATAACACACTCCGTCTGGCTTCACGCAGTGGGCTTTAAAGACCGTGTGACGTCATTCGCAAGAGTAGGCCATTGTGCTGACATCAGGATCCAATTGTTTATATGGTGAAACAGGTAATCCTCAGAGGCAAAGTTGACCTAGGGGAGGCCAAGTTCTGGTATCACTTGCTACTGATGTCTGCCATGACCTAGAACCGAACTCAGGTCATTGAGATTGTAGCACTGTGTGTTGTCTACACCACCATTCCCCATAGCCCCATATGTAAAGTTTAGACCAAATGGGCTGTTGCCTGCAAGTGCTGTATGCGAGTATCTATTAACAGGGCCAGGCTTGGCGATGCACTTTTAAACCTAGATTGATGTTCGAACATGCATACACCACGTCCGGTGTTTTTGTCCCCTCAGTGGTAATGTTTAAACACTGCACCAGGTAACATAATCACCACTGCTGTTAACCGTGGCCTGGCATCAAATTCTGGTTGCAAGGTTTGTATCACAGTGTGCTAATAACCACGCTACTGCTCCCCATGCAAAACAAAACAAAGATCCCCCCGTACAGCCTTAACAAACTGTTGGGGCAAGTCCTGTTAGCCAGTACAGCACATGAGGGGGTCGCCAACACCACGCCTGGCTGCCTTTGTGTCCCGAGTGGCGATATTTACACATCAGACTAGGTACTCATTTGAGGCTGAATCGACTTAGGGGAGTCCCAGGACGAGCTCAGATAATTATAATCGTCACACGAAGGAGTTGCCAGCACCACGCCTGACCACCTTTGTCTCCCTAGTGGCGATATTTACACATCGGACTAGGTACTCATTTGAGGCTGAGTCGACTTAGGGGAGGCCCAGGACGAGCTCAGATAATCGTCACTGGTGTTGGCCGTGAGCGTAAATCGAACCGGGGCACCGAGTTCATAGCGGAGCATGTTAACTGCTGCACCACCGCTCCCTATACACACACACACAAAGGCACACACGCACATGCACACGCAAATGTGAAAGAAAAATACTGACCCGCCGCCACCAGTTATGTAGCTGTAGCCACCACCAGTCAGTAGCCCATAGCCGTAGCGCTCTCCCAGGTACACAGGCTCAGTTGGGTCATAGCAGCTCAGCAGCTTCTGCAATCTGGGCACACTGGCAGGAAAACCAACAGCGACACATTTGGCATCACAGAGTAAATGTGAAATATCCACCTCTGACTAGAGGCCATCAAAGAATATTTAGGTCTTGAACTTGCGCTGGCAATTAAATGAAACTGTTGGCACAGAGCCGTCAAAAACAGTATTTAAGCTGAATTCATCTTGGGGAGACTCAAGCCAGATTCGGCTACAAACTGCTGCTTATGAAATGAATGGCCCAGGATTCAAACCCTGGTTGCTAGTCTTATGATACAGTCCTAGTCTCTACAAAGAGAGAGATAAAGATCCTCGTATAGCCTTAACAGACTGTTGGGGCAAGTGCTGTTAGCGAGCAGCACCTATTAAGGGCCGATACGGCACACGAGGGGGTGGGTGACCAACAACACACTCGGCCGTCTTTGTCTCCCCAGTGGCGATGTTTACACTCCACACCATGTACATATGCTAAAATTATTTCGCACCGTACGTAGCCAACTGTGCTAATCAGAGCAACGGGTACAAATTCGAGGTCGAGCCGACCTAGGGGAGGCCCAGGACCGATTCAAATAAATCGTAACTGGGGTTGGCCATGAGCGGGAATCTAACTCGGGTCGCCAGATTTGTAGCGCAGCGTGCTAACCGTAGCACCACCGCTCCTGCCTAGTCTCTCCAACACCACTTCACACACACGTGCAATTCCAACAAATCACATAACAGAGATGTACACACATTGCAAAATGTCAAAGAAAGTATGTCATTGGTATGCAGGTGTAATATAGGATAAGCATTTGTCTTACAATGAGTTAAATACTGATAATCTGGTACATCATAAGGGAAGGTCTTCATCCAGAAGTGGATTGATAATGGGCTGTAAATTGCTTTTATTATGGTCACTAATATAATTCCATTGCTTAAATCAGCACACCATGTTTCCTTGCATAGCTTCATGGTGTTGAATAATCCGGGAACACTTTATTAACGAAAACCATGACTCTAGATATGCAGCCGACGCAAGTGGTGCCTTTTGCACCAGTTTCACTGACTGCCTCGCCTTAAAAAAAAAAACACCCATCTCCTTTTTTGGGTTTTGTGCTCAAAAGATGCCTTGCTTATATTTAAACCAGCCGTGACTCACGATGAGCAGCATCGACCGCCATTTCAGTGAGGTGACAATCGAGCGGGCCCGCGTGTCACCACCGGCAATGAATCGTAATGATGCAAGGGATCATGTTGAAGGATGGAGGTGGTGGCCGGGTGGACTCGGGGTGCTGCTCTCCACCGTGTGTGGATCGGAGGTCACGTGAAGGTTATCTCGAAAGGAAGCTCTGTGACATCCACTTCCGAGAGCCAATCTCCCTACGCGCATGGTCGCACACCCCTGCGAGGATTCTGAAAGGACACTTGGTCTCATGACGTGACGGCGACGTAGCAGTCAGGATAAAGTTGGGGGGAGATCACGCATTTTTGTTGATCTCGTCAAGGAGGAAAAACCTTCACGCAAACTCTGGTCATCCTCGAACAAAAACGGTCACCGCATCGCGCCCTTTCAGACGCACTTCCGCGGCCATCTGGAACGCTCTTCCTTCCGATATTAGGAAGCCACCGGAGCTATGCACTTTTAAATAATCTGGATTGAAAACTAATTTCTTGAGAACTGCTTTTAGTATTCTTGGCTCTTTCGGTAAAGTCACGTAGAAGGGAAACAATAAAATAAGAAAAATATAAAACAATAAAAACAATAAAATTATTTTATTGTTTCCCTTCTACGTGACTTTACCGAAAGAACGAAGAATATGAATCCCTGCAGTCACGAAAGCTTTAAATCAAAATTTAACTGCTTTTTGTTTTTAGTTTGTTGTCTTTCCCCCGTACTTCCGATTTTCATGGTTGGCGACGTACGGTGTGACAGAAGTTCAACATGTGCACACACATGCTCAATACGGCCTGCTTTTTCACCAGCTATGCTTAGCTTTCAAAAAATGTTTTAATCAACAGCCGAACAGAAAGTCGCAGCAAAGTGGCCTCATTTATGACCCACGTCGGGGTGAGTTTCACCTCCTTGCGTTTGCGCCCGGCTCCCCGTTGTAGCGAGTTGATGCACACGGGTCGGTTACTTTGACTACATCGCAAGAGCCATTAATGATTCCTAATTGATTTTTTGAGTTAGGTCAAACGTCGATTTTGATTCATCTCTAGCTGCGAAAAGATTACGCGTTCAGAAAAGCCACGGCGTGAATGTGGCTTCGGGATCAGTTTGATGTCTATCCATTGCAAAGGATTACGTAGCTGTGCGTGGGACAGTGCACACCTATAATCCGGAAAGTGAGAGGCTGGTGGATCACGAGGATTTGTGGAAAGTTAACAGTGGGGGGTGGGGGGCGGGGGGGGCGGGGGGCAAACAGGGTGGAGAAGCTACAGCTAGTTACAGCTCAATAAACAATCCAATCCAACCTTATACAGATTCCTATCTGCAGATGATTTAATGCTGTCTTTTCCCATCACCTGCTCGCACAACCAGCTACCCACAGAGGAATATCGGCTCGCCTTAGCCTGTGAAGGTGTACGCGCACTGTGCTGCAAACCCAGGCACCCGAAATAGATTCTCCGCTCAAGACTAACACCAGTGGCGAGTAACGTGTGAACCAGTCCTGGTCTCCTTCCCTTCACCAATTTGCACTGACCATCGTGGTGAAGTATGGTCAAACACCCCCCAAGACCAACAGGGCAAGCTGTGGCCTTCGTTCTGCAGTTCATTGACAAATGGCTGCCGATTACTTATTTACAATAATTATTATTGATTCTGGTTGGTGAGGAATTTCAGGCTGAAGATGACCGATAGCCTTACGACAGTCAAAAACATCTGAACCGTAAGATAAAATCTTGTGGTGCTCCAACTTGTTGTCAGAAGTATCATATTCCCAGCAATGATCCATAAATAATGTATACTACAATACACCTGCTTGCAGTGATTACTTAAAAGAAACAGTGTTCACATTGAAGTTGGGTTTGTAAAATGAAGTATTGATTTTTTTTTCCATAAAGCTCACTGACTGTGCTGGTTTTGACCAGCTTGATGGTCATTATTCGAGAACGCATCACCGTACAATCAAGATGCACAAAGCACTGGCCATCAGTAGGCAAGATGAAGAGAAAAGCGAGCGGGCTCTCCAGCTCGCGATCCATCTTCATGTTCCACCGCAGTGAACACTTTGACCCCGGTGTTATTTGAGTAAAAAAAAAAATGGGAACCAAGTGATTAATAACTACGAAGAAAAACAGCAGGCAGCGTGGCAAGCATCACCCACGGTACTACGCGGTGTCGATGCTACGTCACGATGCGGCTTGCTGAGCGTGGGGGCCGCGTGCTTGTGATCCAGTGATAAGGATTACAGGAAGGGTTTCCGAATCATAACTTCCGCATTTCCCCCCGCCCCCGCACCTTTGATGAACACGGCTGGCTACATACACATGTACATACTTGTGATGCACACAACCGCCAATGCTTCAAGGCGGCCAAAAGATGGCAGCACAGCGAGCGAGTTCAAGATCCGTATGGACTTTGAAAAATTATCCAACTCTCTTATTTGGTGTGGTTTCTTGCAGATACAATTCCGGATTCCTCTCACAATATGCAAAACACTCATTAGAAAATGACTGGCCAAACATCCCAATGTCTTGGCAAAAGACTCGACAATCAATGACAACATTCTGGATAAATGGAGGGGCCTGTTAAATACTCGTTGACATCGACTGGAGTACAGTGAAACCTTGGATTGCGAGTAACTTGGTCTGCGGGTGTTTTGCAAGACGAGCAAAATTTTTAATAAAATATTAATTTGATAAACGAGCGAGGTCTTGCAATACAAGTAGTACGTATACGTTGTGTCTGCCGAGCATCACGTGATCACAACTGACATACGAGTGCTTTGATATACGAGTGCTTTGGATTACAAACACGTTTCCGGAACGAATTATCCTCGCAATCCAAGGTTTTACTGTATTTACTTTTATGCACAAATATGGCCAGGATTACATTCCAGACATATGCAAAAAACAAATGTACATCTGCCAGACGACAGAAATGCGAGCTGTGGGGATGGAGACATGGGTTTGGTTCATTCCCTACATAGCAAATAGCAGCTACACCCCTCTACCTGCTCCAAATACCTTGGAAACAATCACCTACTTTTGCTTCCTGAAGAATAATTCACGGCTGGATGAAGGCCTCCAAATGCCCTGTATATCATAGTGGTTCACGTGATCTTACCCAACCATGCTGGTGAGTGTTGGTTGGTCAAGGGGGGAGAGGGGAGCCCAGGGTTAGTTCAGATATCACTTGCGACTGATGTTAGCCGTGACTAACATCAGACGTCACTTGCCACTGATGTTAGCCGTGACTAACATCAGACGTCACTTGCCACTGATGTTAGCCGTGACTAACATCAGACGTCACTTGCCACGGATGTTAGCCGTGACTAACATCAGATATCACATGCCACTGATGTCAGCCGTGACTAACATCAGATATCACTTGCCACGGATGTCAACCGTGACTAACATCAGACGTCACTTGCCACTGATGTTAGCCGTGACTAACATCAGATATCACTTGCCACTAATGTTAGCTGTGAATAACATCAGATATCACTTGCCACGGATGTCAGCCGTGACTAACATCAGACGTCACTTGCCACTGATGTTAGCCGTGACTAACATCAGATATCACTTGCCACTGATGTTAGCCGTGACTAACATCAGATATAACTTGCCACTGATGTTAGCCGTGACTAACATCAGACCGTAACTAACATCAGGTATCACTTGCCACTGATGCTAGCCAGGACTGAACAGATATCACTCTACAAGGGGTTCTTAGTGTGCTCAAATCCAACCCCTCACATAACAATATTTTTTGTATGAGTTCACAAAGACAACAAAGAAAATCAACACGTCTCATAGCTGAAATGAGCAAGGGGCTGGCACTCATCTCTGTTGATGGGGATAACCATTGTTCAC